CTCTTAACTATGCATTCTTTACTGTATCGGTGATTAAAGTACTAGGAGATAAATGCTGTGAACATCACACAACTCTCTAACTATGCATTCTTTACTGTATCGGTGATTACCATAATGCTGGGCTTTTTCCTTTTTCTAGGACTACAAGTTTGTCCTGCAACCGCTAAACACGCTCTAATTGCTAATTTTGCATTTTTCAAGTTCTCTAGAGAGTCTCCATTTTCTCCAAAGACAGAAAATCCATTTTATTTTCAAACAAGTGACATCCAATGTCAAATCTTTATCTGAGGGAAGAACTGCTCAAATACAATGCAACGTGGCTGGTAAAACCCGTTGCTTTGAAACACGCTGTATCAGCAAACTGAACAGCTGATAAGAATAATAAAAAAATTTAGTCAATAAGATGAGAAAATTCTCATTGGGAGCCTCATCCTACTAGCACAGAAATTGCCAATATTACCCTTGCCTGCATTGCTGCTGGAGGTGTGAATTTGTATTTGAAATCCCACTGTATGGGAGAAGGACCGAAGCGTAGCTACAGGAAATCTTGTTCCTATAAACAGGTTTATGGGATTTATGGAGTGATCAGAGCCTGGCAATCAATTTGGGATTCCCTCTGGGTAATACAGGAAAGAGTATTATGTCCTATAATGCCATGAAATTTATGACCAGGACTTTGAACTTTGGAATAACTTTATAAAAGTGGGGGCTATCTACAAAAAGTTTGTTTTAGGCTTTACTCTGTTATAGCCCAGTACTGCAAGAAGACTTCAAGAGTTCATTTATTTTCCCCAGGGATACTCTTCACAGCGAGGGCAGGAGGCCACACTTAAATACCTTTAAAAGTCCACCCCAGGATGTGAGAACCTGTAAAATTCACAGTTATGAACAACCCTGGAAATGATCAATCTTTCGATTTTAGAAAGTTCCTATTAAAATAATAAAGCACAGAAAGTGCCTTGCTAAAATTAATTTGAGTCTCCTGAACCTGCCCATTTGCACAAAGTGTTGCATGAGAAATTTCAGCAATTCCTTGAAAAAAAAAAGTTGATAACAAGCAGAATTTTGATACAACAGATTTGGAGAAATTGATTTTCTGCTTTATCCAGATTTCTTGACCAATTTCCCTTGGTGCTGTCTTTCTTGTTTATAGTTGAAAGACGTTTATAACAAACTTGTCTTCTGGTTTGCCTCTTCATGCCTACAAATTTCTACTACATTTATATATTATTTATAACAAACTTCTGGTTTTGCCTCTACGTGCCTACAAATTTCTACTACATTTATATATTTGTACCTCCAGACTGAAAAGCAAGATAAACCTGTAGACAAAATTAGTGTATCAGAATAAAACTCGTTACCCCAGGAACTGGACAAAACGAAAATCTATGAAAAGTGTACAACAGCAACAGGTCCCAAACATTTTTTAAATGTTTCGCAAAGTCTTTTTGTGCTGATCACTGAAGATGTTAAAAAGAGCTGCTGGATGCCTTGAATGCCTCCCAGTCTCTGACTGGGACTGTCCCAGTTGGTGCTCAGCTTCTTGCAAAAGCGGACTCCAGCACCACTGAAGAGTTTGCTTACAACTAACTAAACACTGATAAGATCCTCTGTTTTAGTTTTCCAACACCTGAATGATTTATGGGCAGAAACTAGGTCTACAGCAAATTCATAATTGATGTGTCTCTTTTGATACGCAGCCTAACAAATGAAAAACTGCATTAAAAATACACTTGATTTGTTACTTGTTATGGTTTGGAAGAAGACACCCAAGAAAGAGAAAACATCTCATGTTTTCTGCCTTGCCCTGAGCTATAATTACATCTAGGTGATCTGAGATCTAAACCATTCATCTCTTCATCTAGATACAAACAAAAGCCAACTTCTTCCATCCGCAGCCTGGTGATACACACACCCCAGGCATCGCAGATACGTGGGATATCTGAAATCTTTTTGACTTGGTTACTTCTAATCAATTGTATTTAGTTGCTTATAAAAATAATGAGAGGAAGGACTTGATTTTCCCTCCCCCACATCACTGTTTTAATCCCTGCTATGACCAGGTAAGGTACAGCAATAACTGTGGCTCCTCAACCTGATGAAAATAGTGTTGCATTCAGAAATTCGATAAATGAATGGGAGGGACAAGTAATGCCTCTCCCCCAAGGATGTTTTGTTAATTAAATTAGCATTTAAATAGCCAGAGCTAATCTGGGAAGTCAGCCCCTCATTACAGTAACTAGGAAGGGGGAAAAGAGCTGGAGACAATTCCCTACAAGATGGGGTTAAGTTGGCGTTTCACAAACTATTTGCCCAGCCTGTCCCTCCCAAGTGAAAGCTGCCACCCTCCCCGCACCCCCCTTTTCCTCCCAGCATAATTAGCGTGTTCCAGCGCTGTGAATGGAAACAATATCCTCCCTCCAAGCTGTGCCCCTCCAGGGAGATGCTTCCCACAGTTTGTGAAACCCTGAGCCAGGGAAAGGGCTTGTCGAGGAATTCACAGTGGGGTAATTACACTGCGGCGGCTTGTGCCAGGGCGAGAGGAGTTGCATTACTGTAATTCATTGCAGGAGGCAGGGGCTTGGGTAAAGGAGGCATCCAGAAGCAGGGCAGGAGAGAGATGTGAGAAGTTACAGCTCCCACATGCCTTCCCCAACCTGGCATCGAAGCTCAGGACGGTTCTTTGGGCTCTAAGGATGTCCCTGTTTGCAGAAAGTAGCAATGCTGATAAATTAATCTGGTTTCTCTTTGGCAATTAGAAGCGAAGGGAAGCTAAAAAGGTGTTTTTTTTCAGGTTTTGAAATACATTCTTCATTCCGAGTAGAAAACTGGAGCAAAGCTTGCAAGAATTGTATGCTGGGATTTGTTGTTGTCCATCTACATGGCACTGAAAACACGCTGGCACTTGTCTCTAACAAATAAAGAGGTGCTATGCAATCCTTTCCCCAAAAAACCTGCTGTTTAATTTTAAGTATGGCAGAGAGTGCAATGATGACTGATACCAGAGGAGAAGATGGAGGAGGAAGGACTGGATTTGGGTTACGCCAGCTACCCCCAGCAGTATGCACATCTGGCAGACTTCATCCCATTTATTTAAATCAGATTCCAGGTGACTCAACCTGATGTGAAAAAAAAAAACAACAACAACAAAACAACAACCCACCCTCCCCTCGTTGCTCATCGTGCCCAGCTGCAAACAGGGATTATATTTATCTCCATCGCCAAGTACTCAGTTTCAGAAGACGTTGGTGCGGTTTGCCGAGGCCCCAGCTGGAAAATACCACAAGAAGTTCAAAGCCCCGGTTTCATCCTGTAACTGGATCCTCAAGTTCACAAGTGCAAGAACCAACTGTGCAGGCTGAACGCCGGACCTCCCCTCTCCCCAGAAGACACCCTCCGCCGCGCGGGGCTGCGGGGATGAGCCACGAGCACCACATGCTCAGAAGCCAACAATTTCTGCTTCTAGGGACAAAAACTCAATTTTTATTTCAAGCTTTTGCCACCCTGCTTGGTCTGACCTACTGGTATTAAATTATTTTTTTTTTAACTTCAAGACAACTTCCTAATTCGGGATGCTCTGGCACTCCTCTTAAGAACATGGACATTAATCCCGGTGTCACTTAAATGCCAACTTAATATTCCTTTTTTCTCTGCCTTGACAAGATATTCTTCAGGTCAGTCAGGCATGAAATGATAGCTACTGAATGCAATTCTTCTGGGCAAAAAGTGCTGCCTTCTGAAATCTTATCTCAAAACCGCCTGGAAATCTGTTATTTATTTATTTATGTCATAAAAACCTCATTTGATGTTGAAGGGCCAAAGGATTATGATTCTGAATTTGGTCCTTTCTGAAATCTGGCCTTTCAAAATAACAGAGAGAGAATACTTGTTTTGAACTAAAATCGCCGCTACAAGGGGTTTTCAACCATGACCATTTAAATGAGATTTTTTTTTTTTTGCATCTTTGCATTATAGTTTCGTTCTCGGTCTTTGCAACCAGTAGCTGCGGTTGAGCCATCGGGCTGTCTAATGGGGATAAACTGTAATATTGTTTGAACCATCCCTGGTTATTACTGTTGAGCTCTTTTAGTGACATGCCTTCGTTAAGTGAATCACAATGGGCCCGTTAATAACATCAGAGGTTGCTCTGTGAAGCCAGATCCAGTCATCGTCCAAAAACAGGGTCTACACATTGGGTTGCAGCTCGTGATGCTCAACATGACGTGGTCTCCAAGGGACAGAAACCCCACAGACCAGCGCAGTAATGCCCTCGTGGTTTTTGCTCCCAGAGTAAATCTTGTGGAGATGTGAGGTTTTTGGTCTCAGTGGTGATGCTATTGCATGAAATATCGCAGTATTCCCCCCCCAAAAAATGGCCTGACACACAGGTGGGGACTGAGATGGGATGATGTTATAGAATCATAGAACCATAGAATCACAGAATGGGGCCTGACACACAGGTGGGGACCGAGATGGGATGATGTTATAGAATCACAAAACGGTTTGGGTTGGAAGGGACCTTTCAAGTCCATCTAGTTCAAACCCCCCATGTCATGGGTAGGGACATCTTCAACTAGACCAGGTTGCTACGTGGCATGGGTAGGGACATCTTCAACTAGATCAGGCTGCTCAGAGCCATGTCCAACCTGACCTGGAATGTCTCCAGGGATGGGACACATCACCCACAGCCACCCAGGGGACGAGTGGCAGGGCCTGGGGTGGCCCAAATCCCCCTCCCCACCAGCGCCCTGTTGTACAACACAACCCACAGGGACATCTTCAACTAGACCAGGTTGCTCAGAGCCACGTCCAACCTGACCTGGAATGTGTCCAGGGATGGGACACATCACCCACAGCCACCCAGGGGATGAGTGGCAGGGCCTGGGGTGGCCCAAATCCCCCTCCCCACCAGCGCCCTGTTGTACAACCCAACCCACAGACGCCATTTGCCCGCATGCCCTCAGGAAACCCCTCCGTGACAGAGAACTACACATCCCAGCATGCAACCCTTCCCCTCTGCGGCGGGACGGCAGGCAGGACCACAGCACCCAGCGTGCACCGCGCCACGCTGCCCCTTCCGCTCCCGGCCAGCCGCCGCGCTGCACGCCGGGAGCTGTAGTCCAGCCGGACGTTGGTCAGGCACGGTGCCTCCCTCCTACCGCTCCCGGTCTCTCCTCCCCGCCCCGCCGGGTGTCCCTCCGTAGACGGAAGCCGAGGAGGGATCGAGGGAGCCGGGGAGGTCGGGAGCGGCGCGATGGGGGACTCCAAAGTGAAGGTGGCGGTGCGCGTCCGCCCCATGAACCGGCGAGGTGAGACCCCCCCCCTCCCTCCCTCAGGCGCCCCTGGGCTGCGTGTGAGGGGAGCGGGCCCGGGCGGGGCGGCGGGCCGGGGGTGCCGGTCCCCCTCGGTGTCTATAGGGGCAGGTGTGGGTCTATAGGCGTGTGTCCTGGCGCGGGGGCGTGTTTATCGGTGCCTGTGTCGATAGGGATGTATATTTCTGTATATATGTATTTATTTATGTATTTACTCTGCACGCCTGGGTAGGTTTGGGGGCGAAGGCGAGGCGCTCTCCCGAAGCAGCTGTATTCACTCCCCTCTCCTGTCGTCTTTTTCCTAAATTCGCCCTGTTTTATGGCTTTTTTTTTTTTTTTTTGGCTTTTTTTCTTGCTCCCACCCCGGGGTACACCCCTCTCCACACCTCCTGCACCTGCTTTCCAGCCGGGCTGTGCCCTTTTCCATGCTGGGAAAGCTCTTCCTTCTTCCTGGGCCTTTGGGGGGGGGGGGGGGAATGCTTTTCTTTCTGTTTTTGGTGGGTTTTTTCCCCCCCCTGTGCTAATGGAGCTCTGTAACCCCTCTTCGTACCCCTCGGTGATTGAGCAGGACGGCGTTAAGCAGCTGACAGAGGCACTGTAAGGGCAAGAGAAACAAAAACAAACAAGAAAACATGGAAGAGGAAGCGTGAATTGACAAGAGAAGGAATTTTTGTTGTTGTTGTTGTTGGGTTGGGGTTTTTTTTTTTGTTGGGTTGGGTGTTTTTTTTTTTTCCCCCTCAGCGAAACTTGCCTGAGGGTTATGTTAATCAGACCGTGGTCTGGGCATCTGTTTAAATGTTTATTACTTGTCTTAATTAGAAAGAATTGCTCTAGATGATGAGGAAGCAAGTATGAATAGGCAACTTCAGCCAAGGAATGGGAAGGTGAAGAAGGCAAAAATCCAAGAAACGTGTAGGGTGGCTTCTTTTCCCCCACATTCTCACAGAAGTTTGCCAATAATTCCTTTTGGGGAAGGGAATCAAGTGAACTCAGTTTAATAGCTGAAGCAAAAAGGGAGGGAGGGGGAAAGCCTTTTATCTCCTACGCAATCTGAAACAAAATAACTCTTTAATTCCTTTCAATAAATAAGAAAGAAAAAAAAAAAAAGTGAAGCGTTGAATAAAGTATTTCCATACTTTTTAAAATAAAAGCAGGGTAATGTCAAACTGAGTTCCCAAGAGCTCTCAAGTCCCACATCTGAAATAGAGGAGATAGGGTTGATGTCCTTACAGCCTGGTGGGTTAGGGAAATTGACCATACTTTTAACAAGATGTAGATTTTGGTCAATTTCAGGCAGCAGTTCTCAAAACCGAGGAGGAGGGACCCATCCTTGTGGAGAATTGCTGGGAGGAGATTGAGTGAGAGTGTGGAGGAGTTGGTGGGAGCTGGGATGGAAAGGAGCTGCGAGGTGGTGCCTTGTTTCAGCGATAGACGTGGGCTTTCCTCTGCTCCTGTCCCTTTCCTGTCATAGGTCATTTCCTTGGCTGTGACCCAGATGTCTTCTGACTGTGTAGTGCTCTTTACCCCCGGGGGGTTGTACAATAATTCAGGGTGGAAGGGACCTCTGGAGGTCTGGCTGTTCAGAGCAGGTCACGTTAGATGAGGTTGCACAGGGCCTTGTTCAGGCACGTTTTGGATCTCCAAGGGTGAAAAATGCACCTCTCCCTCCTGGTGAATATTCTGCCTATGTTCAGCCCCACTTTGTGCACGTGGAATGGTCTTCAGGCTGTTTCCAGCGAGAGACTGAGTTCTGCAGAAATTATGTGTTGGGAAGAAAGGCTGGAAGTAAAGGGGAGAAATGACAGAAGAGTAGATTTAGAGCAATCCATCTATTTGAAGCTTCTGCCTTGCCAGGGAATATCCTAACACTGAGCTGCTCCAATCTGGGAGAGTGTGTCTTGTTATCAGAGCTGGTTTATTCTGAGTAAACTTACAGATGTTATGGACTAGAGGGGACGGCTCTAACCTGGCAGTGAGGGTCCTTTGAGTATCAGCCTTTGGTGTCCATCAGAGAGAAGAGGGACCTGAACCCCATGCTCTTGGCACGTAGCTTGGCAATGGGGGCAAACCTCCTCTCTGTCAGAACTGTTAAGCATCCTGTTATTTTGTGAGCGATACCTAAATCCATGTAAGTGTAGCCTAAAAGATCAATGTCTTTTTCTTCCTGAAACAAGATGCCCTGGAATTGATTTTTCTCTTTTTTTTGAGCGGATTATTGGTCCCAGGCCAGATGTTTTGGTCAGTTCTAAACAACTGATACCCCTGTGTAGTATTGCTGATGCTCCTAGAATTTATAGAAACAAACAGTGATATGAAGCCTAGTATTTTTCTGATCTATTTAATGTTAAATATAAGAATTTGGGTAACTGATTTTCTGAAGAGTCATCCAGCTGTCAGACTTTTGCGGCTTTGCTTTTTTTAATAGGCTTTGAGGCAACAGGCAACTTTCTTGGAAGCTCTCTAATATGCACTTTGTTCTAAGTAGTGTTTATATGAAGTTCTGGGGCTTTGGACCTGAAGCAACTATTTGTTTTCTTCAGGATCACGAGTCATGTTCTTTCCTTCCCTCTGCACCGAAGGGCTTAAAACTGCAAACCTCTCAGATGGTTACAACTGTTGAAATTTAAGCCTTGAAATATTCTCAGTGTTTACTTGTGGTGGTGGTGGTTGTCTTTAGTGTTTGAATTATGAATTTCTTAAGGCGAGGGTTTATTAGGTTAATAAAAGTGGTATGTTTAACTATTACTAATTTATACAGCTCATAAAAGTGTAATAGGTTCTTTGCATGCAGGTTGAAGGGATTTCTGTATCAAATAGGTGGTTATTTGTAGTACTCACGTTTCGTGGTGGTGGTATTGAGGGTCCTGCTTCATTCTCGTGTGAAGTGATCATCTCTAAACGAAGTTTAAAGCACTAATTTGTAGCTGTGAGGGGAAGCATTTGTAACTGTATTTGGGTTTCTTGGGTTTTTGCATCTTGCTTCAAGTTAGACCCCAGTCCTATAAAATGCCTATGGAAGCCACGGTTTTAAATACTGCAATTAAATTAAATAATTGGGCACGGTTTTGTTAGATAGGACTCTCAGTCTTCTCTTTCCTCAATTTTGTCCTTCATGAAAGTATTTCCTAGTGCACTGCTTTTTCAGATGGCTTTTTGGTCCCAAACAGTAAGTTGTTTTGCTCGGGTATTTTAGAGTTGCAGTGGATTTCCTTTTACAAATGCTGTCAGTGTTTGCCTTCGCTTAGCAGATGCTCATTGTATTTCAGGTAAATGCTGTGCAAAGCTCCAGTCATACCATGAAGCCCAGCAAAAGACAGCTGGAGGCTTTTTAATTAAGATTTGTCTTACTGAGTGTTTTGGGTTGAGCTGATGTTGGTGTAAAAGCATCCCATAAGTACATTTAAGTCCTCGTGTTTCTCTGTGGCTTTGAATCAGTTCAGTGTAGTGTTAATTAAAATATAACATATTTTATCACTATTCAAGGACTTATGCTCAAGTGTATGGCTGATGACACCTTAAGCTATTGTGTTGCTACATGTCACTTGGGTTCATACCTTTCTGTTTGAACAAGAAAGGCAGGAAACTAACTGCAAAAAAAATTATGTGTTTAGTGATTTGAATGAATTTATTGAGGAGCAGCAGAAGGAGGAGCTGGCACAGGGTGGGTGGTGGCATCACACAGCTCAGGTAGGGAGTGGTGGGGTGGATGTGCCACGTTAGGTTTAAACTGTATGGGGCCACAGCCTGTGTTCTGTGGTTTTATTTGTTGTTTTTTTTTTTCCACTGGAGCTTACAGCAGAAACAATTTATCTATAAATCAGGGTTTGTGCAAGCAGTCTTATAAAATTAATTATGGCATTAGAGTGAATGAAATGGCACCTGTTGTCTCCTGATAGCAACAGGCAAAACACAAGACTTTTCTCCACCATAATCCTTGTCAGAAAGGAGTGCCTGGAGTTTTCGATACTTCCTTGTGATTGCTGATAACCTATAAAATAGTGTTTGTGGTGTGAGCAGGATTAACCTAGAGGTGGGGTGACAAATGGGTAAAGCATGTGGAGTTAGTGTTTCATCTTGCGTTCCTCAGTGAGGCAATTGTATTTTAAGAACTCCTACTCCTACTACCAAAGAACCAGGAGACTACCAGTCGGCCCAATGAGGATGCCACAAAGGCAAACAATTCTTGTGCTAATTACATCTTTAGAGGCAGCCGAAAGTGCAGTATGAGATTACCTTGCTGCTCTGGTTTCACCTTGGCTTGCTCCTCCTGAAGTCAACAGAAGATCAGATATGCACACAGCTGGGAATTGTGCCTCCCTGGGCTTTTGGGTGGGTGGTGGCAGAGCAAACACTATTGCATTTAATTCCTGTTAACTCTGAAGGCCCAAACAAAGCAGGGGCACGGAGGAGTTGCGTGTTGGAGCTTCCTCACAACCCATTGCTGCATCAGAAAGTCATCAGCCTCGTGTATTTCCTTAGTCTCCATGACCTACAGCACGTGCAGCTGCAGAACTGACTGTGAGTAAGGTTAATGCCCAGATACACCAGTGCCTTTACTGATGCCATTTGGCAAGCTCTCTTCTCGTGGAAAATGAAAGAGCAGAAGACTGAATAAATTTTTTACTGGTTGGACAATGTGGCGTTAACACGTGAGGAGAGTTTGCTTACCTTCAGTGTGCTCCCGAGTTTGAGTTGACTTACACCTCTTCATCGAGATGAGATAGTATTGTCTGCTCTTCCAGATGCACTCATGCATATTTAATGACCTTTAATTGCTTCAAACTGAAAATTTCATGAATTATAGTTGCGCAGTTCATAAATATAGCAGAGAAGCTTGAAAGATGCCTGCCTTCACGTTGGTAGACTTAAGGGACAAGTCAGATTACTGTATTTTTGTCCAGAATGTATCATTTACTATGTCTTATAATTAACGCCCTAAAAGTGTTATTATGCTTTTTTTTTTCCATTTAAGCTCTTAGCATTGTCATTTAAATGTA